CTGACCTGATAGCAATAGCTGTATAAAGGTACATGGCCACTCGATCTCCCAGCTGGGGCACGTTAGTAAGTACACCAGCTTGAACGATTGTATTGACCTTCTGGTTCGCCCAAGTCAAAGCCAAGCGGCCAACCATCATACCTGTTGGTACAACAGTTTCAGTCCAGTCAACGGCACACCAGTAAACGTACCGCCAAAGAATCCAGATGATATGTATCCAGACGATGGTCCTCCATCACGGACTTTCTGAATGAAAGTGACGATCCATCCTGACAACAATATTCTTGAGCCGACATACCAACCTTTCGATAGCCAGAACGACTGACCACCAATGGTCACCTCGGTTCCAACGTAGACCAACGTGAATATCGCCAACAGATGTGCGGTCTTCAAGCGAAGGATCTGCTGGAACTTTCCCCGAGCATTAGTATCATGATCACCGGGAGGATTCCCGATTCGCGTAAGACATGCTAAGTGAACATCATAAACAGTCAGGGAAGAAAGTAAGTGTAAGTGTACTCACTGTCAAGGTCTTTGAGATTGAAAGCAAATCCAACGAGCGCTGTATTGATGACCGAAAGCCCCAGCGAGACGAGATAGTGGAAGGACCAATGCCTCATGGTTGCAAATTGAGTTGCGACTAGAGGTGCGGTAAATGCACCCGCGCCTAATAGATGTGAGGAATTCCGAGTCGCACAAAGGAAGACCGGCAACAACCATAGGATGCCATCATGAGCATCATCTTCCATTCCGAGTTCTCCTTGAGGCTAGCAACATACGTAACAGACTGCGCGTCCTTCACGATAGTGATAGAATGTGTTAACGCGGTAATGAAAAGTCAAAGAACAATACAAACCTGAAGAGACAGCCCAATGCCGTTTGGAATGAATAGCGCCACATACGCAGGGAAAGGTAGTCCGATGGCCTGCAGGGAAAAGACCAGGACTTGACAAAGCGTAGCTGAACAATCACCGTCACATCTTCGAGTCGTTGTCCTAAGCAGACAGCTTACAGAAGAAAGCGACTTTTCCGAAGCCAAATCTGTCGGTTAACGGCACATTCAAGAACGCCCCGGTCAGGAAACCCTGTGGAAGACATCGATATGCCATTCAGGAAGGTCTGATGGGACCTTACAATGCATGCCGTGATGAATATCAAGGAGACAACTGTGAAGTTGACCTTGTTGATGTGTGAGCGTGAGTACCACGGGAGTGAAGATGACAGACAACATACGCCATAGACCTCCTGCAATCGAGGAATTAAAGGACCAGAACTACCGTCGCTCCACCCGCTAAGCATCTTCATCCAACAGCATGCAACAAACTGAACCGTCGCACGACGGCTGTGATTGGATGCAGAGGGGGTATCACCAGGGGTGTTAACCGACTCAACGGTTTGAAGCTGCACGGCACACTGAGCGACCTTCCCATTGCGAGAAAGCGTGTCGAGCTCGATTCCTTCGGCACCAGAAGTGCGATCAGAGCACTCTATGTCGTTACCCATAGTGAGTGTGTCAGTTCAAGGGGATTAATAAGCTAGTCCACCATGGTGAGAAGTAAACCCCGTCGAACTGGAATTCGGACTTGTGTCGGTAATTAGCAAGTACCTGCCAGCACGTGTTTTCGGGCGCCACGGATACTGTATACGTGTTACAACCCCATGTTCATGGGGCGTTACGCGTTATGATCGTGAACTAACAAACTGTTAGTTCATTCAGGGTTCAATTGCCATAAAAGGAGTGGCGGCATCAGCCGCCGAGCGGAAATTCCCTTTTTGGGCCTCCCGACGCCCAAATTTTGGAGTGTTACACGTTATGGGGTACAATTTAGTTCAGTTCACGACCCCGTGTTACACGTTATGTGAACATGGGGTCGTAACCTACAGTACCAATCACCATGAGCGTGTACCATTAGCAGAGCACCATGGCCCTCTGAGGTGATGATTTCCGGACGAGAGTGGCTTCTTCTACGAAAATGCATGAGATTGTTGGAAAACACGCGACGCGGGTGTCGATGCGCGCGCTAGTCAGACGGAACGGGCACGCTTGCTGAGCACACAGTACATTGGCTCTAAAGCAAACGAGTAACGAATACATCCTCAAGTACCTACTTAAATACGAGAACATGTACCTAAGAATAGCCTATGAGATGAGTAAGCCAAGGAGGTGGCGCGTAGATCCTATGGAGAAGACACGTCGCGACCATATGGACGTGTGAGCATGCTCGAGCACACGAGCACTTCAATATATTCCAACACACCCCTGGAAGTGCGAGAGTGTTCATGACGGAAATAAACACCCCTGGAAGCAGGAAACGGCGGGCAGCGACGGCGAGAAGGATGATGGCGGGAATGAGGGATGACAACATGTCAACGACGGGAAGCAGACTTCAGCCTCTGCAGGCAAATCCAACAGCAGCAGCAACAGCGTAGGAATACGGCCCCTACAGGCCACGACGAACGACAAACAAAACAGCGGCGCATCGTGAACACCACACGGCAACGACAAATCAGCAACGGCTTCGGGATCGGCAATGGCAATCAACGGCAGAACGGCACGTCAACAGCGGGAATCGACAGCGGTGCAGCGGGAATGCGCGCAAAACAGCGATGACGACGGGGAACGTGCTCAACGAGGAACGGCGGAGCGACAATGGAGGAACGCGGATCAACGAGATCGACGCGAAGGATGGACACGGATCGTCTCGGACACACGGGAAGAGTGCGCGATGACAAGAATGGCAACGACAGCATACGCAGAGGACTAGCGCAGCAACATCGACAGCGACGGCCTATTTGATACTACCCGGCCACGATCAGGGTAGGACTCGTTTGTGTTGGAAAACACGCGACGCGGGTGTCGATGCGCGCGCTAGTCAGACGGAACGGGCACGCTTGCTGAGCACACAGTACATTGGCTCTAAAGCAAACGAGTAACGAATACATCCTCAAGTACCTACTTAAATACGAGAACATGTACCTAAGAATAGCCTATGAGATGAGTAAGCCAAGGAGGTGGCGCGTAGATCCTATGGAGAAGACACGTCGCGACCATATGGACGTGTGAGCATGCTCGAGCACACGAGCACTTCAATATATTCCAACAGAGATTCACCATCGCGCACAAATCGACGAAGAATTCTTCTAGCCCGTGGGTACTAGCCGTGGGTTTGATGAGCCCGCGCCGTTTGGTAAGAGAAAGCGCCGGAAACTGGATTCAGATCTTCTTTCGATGAACTGGAACTCACGTTTATCATTTGCAGTTTAATAGAGGGGTGCTTGAGGGGAACTTGCCAGCACAACTCCCAGAGCTAGAACAATAGGGTGGTGAAGTAAACCCTTGGTTTTGATACACCTCGGGTTTACTGCGGTTAGTAACAGTATCAATACGGTATCGAAACCGTCGGGGGTCGGGAGGTAGGTTTCAATACCGGCACGTGACTATTTCACGTGACTTTGGCGGGGCGGGTCTCCAGACACATATCCGCAGCCCACCAAGCTCACACCATGGCCCCAGTCAGACCTGACCTCAAAACAAAACAGGCATGCCGCATTAACAAAGCTGTGTCCAATTCCTGATGACTTCTACCAGTCTCTACAGTACTGTACCGTTTCGACCGGGTGTTCGGCTAACGCGTAACGCACCCGGTCGAACCGAACAAAAACATAAGTGATAACACGTCACGCACCATTTTTCAAGCTACACAAGGCCTAAAAAGGCAATTTTTTCGTCCCGCCTACGGCGGGACTGTCCAAATATAGTAATTCCGCCCCGGGTGCCTGAAAACGAACAGTTATGCTGAGAGTTCGTTGCATAACGCGTCACACGGGGCGAACACCCGGTCGAAACGGTACAGTATTCCTCCATAACACAGTGAGGCAGATGAAAATGACATAGACTACAGTATAGATTTTGATTAATTTCATTACAGACCTCAATTTAATAGCCGGTACCTCGAGCTGAACCATAGAAAATCTGAGCAGAGCTGATACTGTACACTTTAATTCAATTCGTCGGTCACGGGTCACGGACGACCCGAAATCGACGAAAAGTCACAGCCGTCACAGCGAAAATCACAAAAAAGTCTCCGGCGGGGCCTCCGCCAGCCTCCCGCCGCGGCGGCAATTACTATATATGGTAATACATCGAAACCATAATTTCGTCGGAGCGGTCACAGGTCACATGGGCCGACGAATTGAATGAAAGTCTACAGTAGGAGCCTTCGCAGAAATTGCGCCACCCGAGTCACGTGCAATGATCACGTGCCGGTATCGATACCGTTACTAACGGTATCGAAAGTTCTAGGGCTTAGTTTATATTAATTTTGGGGTATAATAAACGGTTTAATAAAAAATTTCTCCTGAGGCATGTTTATAAACCGGTTTATAAACTCGGCCGAGATGACCGAGTAGGTCACGTGAGCCTAAATTCCAAGTCCCGTATGAGCTCAAAGGGCTTTCGCGCGCCACCTGTGGTTGAATGCGAAGTCAATCAAGAAGTCAATCCTGGAGCTCCGGCTCCTTCCATGGTGATGGGTGAGTAGTTGAGCAAGTCCCAGAAGAATGGAAGGGTTGAATCTGTCACAGCGCCGCAGCGCGGGTCCGAATCCTCTTGGTTCAGCACATGATCAGTAAGGTGGTACTACTATGTGTTGTTGACAGGCTTTCAGACAGTGGTTAAGGTACTTGAGCTAGGAGGCGGACATGGAGAGAAGGATTTTTAATCACATCTCGACAGTATGCACAGCCACCTTTATAAACATTAAAAACTGGGGGTTTCGCGACCTACCCTGTTTATACTGTTTATAAACACCTGTTTATAAACGTGTTTACAAACATTGCTATATAAACTAAGCCCTAATCGAAACTAGGACCTCCCGGGGGGGTCGGTATCAATACCGTTACTAACACCCCCCGGAGGTTTACTGCGCCACCCTATAGAACAATGGGTATTAACACTAGATATTGTTAAAATGAACAAAAAGCATTCCTATAAACCACCATGACCACCGCAGGTCTCGAACCTGCAATCTCCTGATCCTGATTTTGTAATCGTAGTCAGACGCGATGCCATTTCGCCAGGCGGCCATGTATGGTGGAGAAGTGTGGCGTGTAAATAGGGAAGGCAATGATCGGGACTTCGATCATGACGAAAATGATTGACCGGTCCTCTTCCTTCTTGTTGGACGACAATGTCGCCCGCCGCTCTCGCGCCTGCTCAGGCAGACAGAAATGCTCTAGGTCCCGAACAGGAGGAGCATGGTGGAATTCGTCGGTTTATGGGAATTGCTCAGGTGTGTACACGCATCCATTGCGATAATGAACTTGCTTTGTGAGCAGATATTCATGTTCTGGGCCATCTCAGTTGTATATCGGCGTACCAGTGACATAGTCAACCTAACAGTGTCACACTAGCGGATTCACCTACCTTTCTTTTCTGCTACTGCCTCGACATTGAAATGGTTGCTCTCAAAATATGTTACGGTGTTCAACAACGTCTCGCGTCTGTTGTAGACTCTCGCTAGTCAGGAATCACCGGACATTGTATCCCAACTCATCCTCGCCTCGTCATCGCACATTTTGCAATGCTCTTGGTGGTGACATCACTCAGCAGAATTATAAGTTGCGCGTCTCCACACCATCTGTTCGCGTTCTGATCATAACCTCGTCAACACTCCTCTCTGACGTTTCATGACGTGACGTCCTCCACTGGCTGCCTTTATAAGGCGCGCACCGCTGAAGGTCGCAGTTTATCGCTGTTCAAGACCCAAAACACCTCCAACCAGAACTCAAGCAACTCTAACACACTGTTCGGAAACACCGGTACCACTCGGCGCTCCCACCACGCTACGCACCACACCGCCCACAATTCTACTGCCCCTCGTACCCATCGCCGCCACTTCTGGCAACGCAAAGATCGCGATCGCGTCGCAGGAGGATACAGTAAGTTTTCACTCCATGTTTCTCAGTGAATGTCAGCCTAGTAATGCTTTCAGAGGCTGCTTTGTCCAACCCCCACACAACACAGGTAGAAAGCACGCCAAACATGAGCTGCACAAGATGGTAAGACGATTTGAGTTCTGACATTGAATCGTCAATTGATTATCGTTGTGTAGGGCCGCAGTAGCCATGTTCCCTTCATGACGAAGGTCAAGCGTACACTAGGTATTCGTAGCACTCCTCAGCGTGAGCGCCGAGTTCACTACTGAATTCGACGCCACCATATAATGAATTTGCTTGAAGATGTAGCAAAGCATAATATTTGTATGTCTACAAGTTTCATATAATTGTATCGATCATGATCTCAGTGTTCTAAAGCTCTTCAAGTTGCCACAACTCAATCGAGTTCAACACTATTCCTAGCTTTGGAGTACTTAACCCTGGCCAAGCGGGTGCACGTCATATCGAGCGTATCGTGCGGGTACCGGAGCCATTCGTGTCTGCGTCTTCCTGGGTGGCGTCCGTGTCTCCTTCCCCAGAGCGCGTCGTCCTCTTCAAGGGTCGCGTCGGAGTGATGCATCGATGAGGCCTTACTTTGAAAACCGCAACTTTTATGGATCAACTGGCTCTCTCGCGTGGATATGCTTTGTCTTTTCCGAAACCTAGATGCCAGGTTTACCGCCGACGAGATCTAGTAGATGCAATCCTCTTCCATGCTACTGAGAGGTGCACATAGAGTGTATGATCTATGTCGCTCGTTGTCTGGCGGGCTTCAAAGAGGCAGACACTGACGAAGCCGCCGAAAACGACGAGTTGCAATACCCCCGTGGCTCTGGAAGATGGGCTCTTGCGCCATCAACGACGATAGGTTTTGCAGCGCTAACAGTGTTAAGCTTGGTATCAGAGGTGATAGAGGATGGACGAGGTGCGGTACCGTCAAGAAACTGCGCCTTTGAGATCTCGGAGGACATGATGCAAGTGCTAGGTCGGACAACCACAGTTGGCACCCCTATGCGCCTTGCGTAGTGAGGGTTTCCCATCTGATCCTGTTATCAGCCAGAGATAAGTCAAAGCGCGCTATCTCAGTCTGAGCCTGCTACTTAGTGAGTGGTGGTACTAGCCAAATGGGGCTGCAGCGAAACTTGTCTTTTCGCGGCCTATCTTCGTTTGCTTAATCTGTGCGTCTGAATCTTCAATCCAGCATCACACTGGCCCTTCGACATACCAAACAACAACGTCCGGGTCTCATACGCAGCCGCCACCTCGGCTCTCAGCTCTCAGCTCAACCGACTGTTTCCTCTGGGCAAAGTCAATACACGGCCCGTTTGCCCGTCTGATATTTTGTCGTAGTGCCCGAGCATCTCTGCTGCTACTTCTGTCAATTTTCTGTCTGGAGCGGGAGCTGACCCACGATTTCCCTCGTACATGAATAACAATGCGAAACATACCATTCTTTCTCTCCTTGGCAAATACCTGCTTTCTCGTCTAGCAATATCTCCTTTCACCGTCTTTTACCGTCCAACCGCGACGGAGTGGTATCTGAAATTTCAGCCACAAAGCCATGCGATTCCGAGCCGCAAGCGGTTCGACCGGGCCGTGCGCCACACCTAATCGTCGAGTCCAGGCGAATTACACGTTGACGAGCAATACAGGGCGGAAATAGGTGGCTAGAATCGTGAACCTAGAACACTTAGACTCTCCCGAGTCCGTGTTCTTTTGTACTCGACTTTTTAGTAGCCGCGTACGTCAACAATCAAGTGCTTACTACCAGAAATCTGATATTGGACGTCTTGACTCTGGGATCTTCGCGGGAAGAGTCTAGACTGTGACGGTGTGCCTAAGTAGTCGTGTAGTTTGGCGGTCTATCTGCAAGCTCTGTACTAAGACACCGATAGACTATCTCTTCTCCACGATTGGGTCCCCCTGCCCAGCTGATGCATCGGAAGGCGGTGGACCTGTTTACCGGTGAATGACGACAGTATACACCGCCGGGGCTGTGACAGACCTCCACCATCTTCTTGACATCAAACCCGGTGTTGTGCCCCATGGGGCCTGGGCTATCTTGCTGCCATGGAATAGTGAGAATGGTGGTTATCATTGAGCACGACTACTGTCGTGGGGCCTAGCCCCGAGAATCAGTTCCGTCAGATTGGGGAACGAGGAATGGTCGTCTCCGTCTCCTACTTTGGTTTTGTGCCCTCGTCGACACATGATGCAATGATATGCAGGTTCCTCCGCGAATGGTTCCTGTTGCGCGTATAATAATAACGGAGATCTCAGATTGCCCCTTCATGTGTATACTCCTCGGTTTGTCTGTATTGGTCTGGACAGCTGACTGGCTTCAGCACTCTGTCGTCCACACCTGCCGTCATCACGGGTGTGATGTCGCGAACTCGACAGCTGATAGGGATTTATCATTTATAGAATGGGATGAGAGCAAAACTAAAGATAGCGCGTCCTTGGGGAACTGAGTTTGTTGTTCAAAGAGAACTGGAAGCGCGAGCGAGGTTGTATTGAATGGAAAGTATTTTGGCGTGGGATCAGATCTTTGACGACGCGCTTCCCCGTGTTCGTCGCCCGATATGCACGCCGCGAGACACGCCTGTAGTGCGTGCACGACAGATACATGATATCTGTGAGAAAACTGTATTCGGATAACCCAAGACAAGTAGTTATCACGAGTAATGATGATTCGTCTGTTGAAACAGTGGCCTCCCCAGAGTCACACAGCATTAGGCAGGCAAGGTTGGAGAAAGATGCGGGGTGAGTGTATCACATGAGAAAAAGTGTACATATAGTAGGAGGCTGTAGATACAGATCTGGGCCGATTGATCTACCTCTGCGCTTCGCGAATCGCCGGTGATGAAGAAGGAGAACCGGTGGTGTGCGAGCGGACGTGACCGAGCTGGACGAAAGGCTGGCAGAGGCTGGCCAAAAGGCGGCTTCCTAGATTAAGGCAGCGGAAGGCCTGGGGGGACTCCGAAGGACAAGTCTGTCCTCGGAGTGGGACGGAAAGAAAGGTTTGCGAGTGGCCGGACCGGTGTTATTATTCGGCAGACTCACGTGCTGCTATCGCATTTCCCTTTTCATCCGCCACTTTAATCAATGCGTACATTCTTCCCTCCTCCCTCCACGACAAACACGTTCTTGTCGCCATGAGCCTATCTGTCGACGACCTCGTCTCTTCGTTCTCCTCGAGCCATATAGGCCAGGAGGCCATGGATCTGGCCGCGCTGCAGGTGAGCTGGACGCCGCCGATACTCGAGTCTCAGTGGCCTAACAGTCTTTGTCTCAAGGCCCAACTATCGCAGGCGCTGTTCACACAGCAGATCCCGAGGGAGTCCTATTCACCCCACCGGTGCAATACGCCCACATCACGTACCCCGTCGAGCAGCTTCAGCTGGGGCCAGGCCATGGACACCCACCGCAGACAGTCCGCCGACGATTTCATGCGCGACTCGGACGAAATGGAGGACGAGCGCATGGTCGAGGACCTGCTCGTTCCGTCGTCTCCCGGCGGCGGCAAGACGCGCAAACCCGCGTCAGACTCGTCGCTGTTCACCTCCACCGATCCGTTCTATATCGCCCAGCTGCAGGCGATGCAGCACAACTCCTCCCCCCAATCTGTGTTTACCCAGTTCGGTCGGCCATCACAACACTCCCCGTTCCAAAATGCATCTCAGCAGCAACAGCAGCAGTGCTTCCAGCAGTCGCGGGATAGCTTTGCATCACAATCCATCTCTATAGATACACACTCCTACCTCTTCGCGACATCAGCCGCGTTTGAGCGCTGACCATCTCCGACCTTTTTCATCTGTGATACACTGATAGATGACCTGTTCTATCCCGGCGTCATTTTCGATCGGGTGTATACCTCGCCCAATACCCGGCGGAAACGAATCCCCTCTCCACATTGTAGCATGTCTTTTTTATTATTTCTAGACTCCCCCCAACTGTACTTTACATCTCACTTGTACAATAGCATCCAGGATTCATTCAACTTATGTCTATGTATAGCTGGAAATAATCAATCAGCATCCGCAATCTCTCTTGACAGCGCTAAGCCGGCTCCGCCTCAACGAGCTCCTATTCAAACGAACGTTTCCATTCCCGCGAACATCCTATCAGACACGGCGTTAAACTTTCAA